TCTGTATGTGATCACCACTAGTGCCTAAACCATACGTAGGATTTTTTCTAAAATGGATATTCCCAGGTCAATCTGATTCGACTCGAGCTGCCGCGATTTTAAAAATACCTTCTTCAAAATTTTGGGGTACTTATCGTGAAAGCCCCCGTACATTTTCAAAATTTTGTCAAAAAATGCTCCAAATTTTTACTTTAAATTTCTTGTAAAATATAATAAAATACACTTATGAGGGTGGTATAGGTCGAATTTTCAAAAGTAACTCTGAACTTTCGAAAATTTAAAAATATTGAAAGTTTTCGAGCTTCTTCCTACAACTACAAAATTCAAGATAGTTTTTCCTTCAAATAATATTTGTTCTCCATAGTGAGTTCTTTTTTTATGGTCACGTACGTTTTTTGAACATTTTTGTAGTTTGGGCGCAATATTGGGTGCAATTATAAATATTATGTAGTGCAATTTTAAAAAATAACAGAAACAAGTTTTCCTTAAGAACGGCTTCATTTTTTTTTTTTTTTTAACTTTTGGTAGGGATAGTGCTAAATGCACTCTATATGATGACATAAACGCCATATTCTTTTGTATTTTCGAAAATTACAAAAATGTATTTTTTTATTTGTCTCTCACGTTAATATGTATAGTAGTTTATATTTGAGTACGTGAGCTTTAAATAAACTTTCTCGAAAGCTCGAGTTTCTGTGAAAACTAGCTCAATTTTTCACATTTTCACATACGTTCAATAGCCATTTTCTCAAAAGCAGCTCCAAATTTTCTTCTTACTTTTACTACAAAAAATCTAGTAGTACAAGTAAACAAAAATATAAATCTTCAGTATTACTGATTTTATGCAGTTTTTGGCAACAAAAATATTAAAATAGGCATCAACAGCTCTCTTAGGACATTTTAGGCACTATTAGACGCTTTCAGAAAGTCTATTTTTTCATAATTCGTAAACATCTGCAATTATTTTTCACAACCTCCTAAAGGAACTAACTATGCATTTGACCTAAAATCCAAGGTCTACTGAATAATTATTGTATACATTGTTCTACATCTTGCGTAGTGTTAATTTTGAGAAAATTGTTCATTACTAAGTGCAATTTTATGCAGTTTTTGTTGATAATTTAAGGTAGTAACTAGTAAAACCCTGCATTTTGACCTCACAGATCCTGTCCAGGAAGCCACAAAAATGAGTATTTTTTTCGGTTTTTCCATTTGTTCTCTACAACTCTTACACTTTAAGTCCTGTGGAAAATTCATTAAAATAAATTTTAATGAGGTTAGCATTTCTTTCTAAATCGATTAACAAGCGACCTAAGCTAAAGCATTTCAAAACGCGCTAATGTTTCATTTCTTCAAAACGAGTTGAAAACTAGTGGTGTTACAACAGTTTTGTACTTTCTCGCTTCATTAACAGTTACTGAAACTAAAACCGTAATTTCTGTGCATTTGAATACATTTTAATCACTTGTACAACTCATTACCAATCGCAGTGCATTAGCCATGAAGACTTATGGTAAAAACAATTCGACCATCCAAAACACCGTTCCATTCACCCTGAAACAGCACTAACAATGAGAAGTTATTCTAAGAATTTTAGACAGCCATGTCCGTTGCGTGCCCATTGTTACAATACAATCGGAAATTCGAATCCACAGTTACGACAATAAAATTACGCTAAAATATTTAAAAAAAACGTGCGTTACCGTTTTTATAGAACTGATTGATTAGAACAGATTCCGTTTAACAAAACAGCTCTAATATTAATATTGTATTTTTGCAGTCACTTTTTGTTTGCAATTTTCTAAAACACAGAGAGTTGGCCGAAAATGGGACCAGCACCGCTTTCTTTATGATTTGCTACGCATAAAGAAAAAATTGGAACTGTTTTTCAGAATGTAATTGTTTAAAATTGAATAAAAACCCTACTTCATTCCAATTACGTAAAAGAACTCATATTTTCGCAAAGTTTAACATGAACTAATTTAAATGTCTTTTTACTTTCTCGCACTTAGGCGAATGACACTTAAGCGAATGGTGCATGTCTTACTTATATTGGTTGAAATTTCTGATTTTTCGAAAATTGCAAAAGTGCAATTTTTTGAAGTGTCTTCCTAGAACTATAATATGGCAGATTTATTTATTTTTCCTCAAAATCCATCCCCCTTCCGGGTGACCTATCCATGACAAAAACTTCACTGACAATGCTCTTCAAGTCAAGTGCGTCCAGTGTAGAGAACCAGGGTGCATAGGGTGTGTTCCAGATCAGATTTTTTTCTTTTTTCTTTAATTGCTGTCACCTTATTTGGTACATCATTCTCAGGCATATGTAGCGTCGAACGCACACTAGCCCTTATGGCTTTTATTGGCGTTACAAGCGACCTCTAGGGACCGTTGAGTAGTCGAAGTCACGTCAGTCTCAGTCAAGTTGAGGAATCGCCAACAGGTAGCGTCTTCGCACTCGCGTCTCGCACGGGCCCTGCGTCATTATCCATCGGCCAGAATTGGGAAGGATTAAGGATAGGGGTGAGGTTTAGGACGCTTCACAGGAGTTGGGCTAGCTCTTGTGAAGCAGGCTAACACGTTTTGTCGTAACAAATTTCACATGAGGTTTTACGGAGATTCTACGGAAATCGATCCCGGAACTACAGTGGGGAAAGGCAAGCGATTTGGCCCGAGCCACCATAGCCTCCGTAAAGGGATGAAATTTGCGATGATCACTGACTCAGCACAGAGAGACGAAGGCATCCCTGATTAACAAACATCTTGCCGGACACGGACCGACGGACACACGGACCGACGGACACACGGACCGACGGACACACGGACCGACGGACACAC